AGGGGCTAGGGTTAGGGTTAGGGGGCTAGGGTTAGTTAGGGTTAGGACTGCACTCAGTTGACCCCCCTTTCCCCTCAACCAATCAAATCACGTGATTTTCTCTCAGCCAATCAGAATCTTCCGGGCTATCTAGGCTGCTTATACTACTCCTGCTCATTTTCGGTGTATATCATCCGAAAAAGCCAGCACAAATCCGAGTGGTCTTCGACTCATCAGCCCAGTGTCAAGGCCTATCACTGAACGAAGTGTTGCTTACTGGACCTAACCTGACCAATGATTTTTTAGGAATTCTTTTACGTTTTCGTCAAGGATCAGTAGCAGTGACAGTTGACATTTAGCAAATGTTTACGGATTCTATATTCGACCAGATCACCGCAAGTATCTACGCTTCTTTTGGTACAAAGAAAACGACATGAACAAAGGCTTAGTGGAGTACCAGATAATGGTACTGGTATTTGGCAATACAACTTCACCTGCAATTACAACTTATGCACTCAGAAAGACAGTGGAAGAAAGTGACAGTGATGTGAAAAACCTTATAGTGAAAAACTTTTACGTGGACGACGGTTTGCTGTCAACTCAAACAGTTCAGGAAGCAGCAGATTTGATAAAGAGAACTAAGAAGGATTTGGCAGAAAAGGGAAATTTGAAATTTCATAAGATCGCTTCAAACAGCTTGGAACTAATGAATCACTTCCCTATCCAAGACTTCTCAAAGGAAGTCCAGGATATCAATTTCACAGAAGAGTACTTACCATTTCATCAGATCCTTGGACTAACATGGAACTTACAAACTGACAGTTTTATGTTCAATATGTATTTAGAGACAAAACCGTTTACAAAACGAGGTATTCTGTCAGTGATCAACAGCATATTTGACCCGATTGGTTTCATCGCACCAGTGAAGATCAAAGGAAAAATGCCACATTTGTTTTCTTTACATTAACATAATCATGATTTACTTATATTTCCCTTGTGAATTATTATTGAAAAATATATATTATAGGTGCTGCATAATCCAAAAGTGCTGCAAACCGTTGTCCAAATTGTGCGATTCAATGTACCATCAACTCGGCTGGATATGCAGGCATTTTAAAGATTCTTTTTAATTGTGACAACAAAATGAATGTGTTCACCGTATTCACCGAAGGACTGATTCAATAAATGAAGTCGATGAACTTCAAGTCAGACTTGAGCAATGAGCTTGCCTAGGATTTAATTGGTAACCCACTTGGAATTACTGCTTATATCGAGTTATAGTGAGGAATTATTATAGCACAATATTTATTCATATTGCAAATTATAATGCGTTTCACTATTTTGTAAATGAATGATATGGAGATAAGGAACAGTATTCAATCTCAAAGTCCATTATTATCAGCTACCCTGGATTTCAATCGTCTTCTGTAAGACTGGTCTACCAATGTGAATAGTGTGGTCTAAAGCAGCTATACGATTTCAAGCTCTATACACAGGTCGGCATCAGGAGTGTCTGTTTGATGCATAGGCTAAGATTTCATTTTGAAAAATTTCAGGATCTGCAGTGCTACTGTAGAAAAAGAATTAAAAGCACGTAACTATGAATTCAGAACTTCCGGTTGACGCATGGCGGGGTGAGTGTGGTGCTCCTGGAATATTTCTATTGTAAATACATTTTCACACGTCTGTCAGGCCAAAATGAGTAATATTTAATTAACAGTTGTATTTTATAAGAGATTTTTAAGGAAGCAAGTCAAGTCCAAAGATATTGTTCCTATAATCTAGCTTCACTAAGTACTACCCGTCACGCACGATTTTGTTCTGTTAACGGCCGCCAAGGAGTTCACTTTTAGTGCCCCTAAAATGGAAGTAGACAATAGCCCATCCAAGATTTGCAATCACAGTTTTGATGAATTAAAAAAACAATTTGAGGGAAAAGATCTTGCAGAATGTTTTGCTATTATGTCCATAGAAATCAACTGTGTTCGAGGAGAAGTCCAGGCCATAAAGCAACGTGTTGGTGACCTGGAAACGGTATGTGAAAACCTTAATCAGGACATTTCAGATATTCATCAAACGTCTTTTCCGGAGATAAAAGAGGCGCTTAAGGTTGAACGAATCGAACGACTCAAGCTGGAAATGTAGGGGGAGAAAATGGACTTTGGTTGTCCGGGGATTGAGGGGTCAAATGATGAACGACCAAGAGAAACAGAAAAGAAGGTGAGACAATTCTTGAATGATATTCTGAAATTTGATGAATCATTTGCAAAAACACCATGGTATAACGCCAACTTAAAAGCAGCCAAGCAGGCTCGTAGAAAAGCAGAGCGGAAAATGCGTGAAACCGACTTAACGATACACAAGCAAATTTACAGAAAATTGTGTACCGATTATTCAAAAGTGCTGCTGCAATCGCAGCAGGATTACTACTCTACAAAGATATTGGAAATTGGACACTTTTAGCTTTTAAACGAGATCTTAAGACTCATCTTAAGATAGCATACGACGTGTAATTTTTTATTTTGAACACGTTATCGAGTTTTATTGTCCTCGGACTATATATTTTGGGCACAACCTGTATTGTGTGAAATTTTTAATGTAATCTCAATTTGATCTTAGTCTAGCAGCTTACAATTTTAGCTTACTCTTATGTTAGTTACGATCTCTTACAATGATTTTAGGTTTTATGTTTTTATGATTATTGTGTTGTATTTAACTACTTGTATATCTGAAATAGTGTCTGTTCAGCGCCTTAGAGTAAATTTTTTTAAATAGGGCGCTATACAAATGCTATTATTATTATTATTATTAATAAAGCAGCAGCCCTTCGGAACCTCTCAAATTGAAGAACGCGGGAAACTGAGCTCCCTCGACTCTGTTTCAGATGGACGCGGTACTTAGAGAGATAGGTTTCAGAACTTAAGCAGAACAATTCCGTTCAAAGAGAATCCATGTCTCCATAATTACTTCTCTTTCCGATTGAAATTTAACCCGGCTTAGCCTGCACCAAATTCTATTTTTATAATATCAGACTGTCTCAGGTAAATCAACAAATGAAACTAAAGGGTCTAGTATCAGTGAGTAGTTTTCATTCAGGAATGATTCAATGGCCATGAATATTTTTGTTTTAATTTCGGACTGTCTCAGGTAAATGAAAGAAATGTAAAGAGCAATGTTTTAAGTACGATATATGCCGAATACAGAACTGTATTCGGCATATATCCAATACGTAAATAATTTCTAAAAGTCTCTGGAAAGATTTTAGGGTGATTTTTTTTTTGCTTTTTAGCAGTAAAATGCTTGTTTTTAACATATATTTGAGGTGCCAATTTAGTGCTGTTCAATTGTAACAACGGTTTGCCATACAAATCAAAATTGTATATTTAAGGTACATTGATACTTTGATAAGAGAGATAACTCTTAATGACACAAATGTCTATTATTCCTTTATAAATTTGTCAAGTTTAAGTGCCTTTTTTGTCAAATTTTGCCACGCAAGTCATGCTATAATTGTTTGTATTTTATTCAGCATATACATTTCCTTTGGAGAATCATAATAGTTGAAGAAAATTTTCATGCCAGTGAGCACTGAGCAGAGGGTTTATGAACCTTAAGCTTATTGGTAAGGTAACACTTTGTTTAATTCCAAATTTCTCTTGTATAAATTATCAAAATTGAACAAAAACGGAATGAAACATTCATGCCTCCATATACAAATATTCCCGCTTCTTAGAGAATGCAAATTTCATTTGAACCCTAGTTATAAGCATATACCTCAATATTTTGTAACACAGTTTTTAGGTCACCTGAGTAAACTCAGTAAAGGTGACCTAATGCTATCTGTTTTCGTCCGTCGTCGTGCGTTAACATTTGAACATTTTTAACTTCTTCTCTGAAACCACTGAATTTATTTCAACCAAATTTTGCATATAGCATCTAAGGATGAGGGGAAAAAAATGTGAATTTCATGGTCCCTGTCGCCTTGGGGGTGGGGCAAAAACCACCAAAATCAGTGCAATCTTTAAAAATCTTCTTCTTTACTCCAGGACATCAAGCAATCAAACTGTTTGTATGATTGTAATCAGCATTGAGTCCTCTACCAAAATTGTGAATTTCATGGCCCCAGGGTCAGGGGTTCTAGTGCTAGGGAAGGGCTAAACAGGTTATATAGTGAAAATGCATTATCTGTTTAAATTCTTCTTTTCTGCTCCTGGACATTAAATAAACTAGCCAATTGAATGGGTAAGTTGAAAATGACAGCCTTTTCCAAAATTGTGAAATTTATGGCCCCAGGGTCAGGGGTTCTAGTGCTAGGGCGACGCTATATAGATTATATAGTGAAATGCATACATTCTTTGAAATCCTTCTTTTCTGTTTGTGGGCATTATATTAAATAACCAAGTGCATAGTTATTTTGAATTAGACTGTCTTTTCTCAAATTGTGAATTTAATCCCCCCAGGATCAGGGGTTCTAGAGGTAGGATGGGACTATATAGATTATATAGTGAAATGCAAAAATTCTTTGAAATTCTTCTTCTCTGCTCATGGGCATTAAATAAACTAACCAAGTGCATAGCTATGTTGGATAAGGCTGCCTCTTCCAAAAATGTGAATTTCATGGCCCCAGGGTCAGGGGTATTAGTGTTAGGGCGGGGCTATATAGATTATTTAGTAAAAAAAGAATTATTTCTTTAAAAATCTTCTTCTTTGCTCCTGAGTATTAAATAAACTAACCAAGTACATAGTTATGTTGAATAAAGTTACCTCCTCCAAAATTGTGAATTTTATGGCCCCTGGGTTGGGGTTCTGGTGTTAGGGCGGGGCTTTATTGAGTATACAGTGAAAATGCATATATTCTTTAAAGCTATTCTTTTTTAAACCTGAGTATTTAACCAATGAACTATGCACATAGTTATGAGGAGGAAGGATGCCTCTTTGAAATTTTAGAATTTCAGAGTCCCTGGGTAATGGCTTCTTGTGTTTGGGCGGGGCTCTAATGTTTATATCGTGAAAATGCATGAATCTTTTGAAAATCTTTTCCTTTGTTGTTGGGTATAATGCCAAATGATCTTATATTTATGACAAAAAACCTGCTTCTTCCAAAAATGGTTAATTTCCTGGCCCCTGGGACAGAGGTACTTTGAGAGTGGTGGTGGTGGTGGGGGGGGGGGTTACATAATCTGAAATAATTTATTGCTTTGAAATCTGCACTTTGGTTTTAATCAACAGCATTGGAAAATTATATTTTTGAAAATTTCTAAAATTTTGAAAGATAAGGCCCCGGGGTCAATGGTTCCTGTGGGATGGGGAACTAAACTGTTGACCAACCCTAACACAAGTAGCCCTGACCCAGGGGCCCTGAAATTCACTAAAAGTGGAAATGCATTTTCTCTGTGTTACTCTGATCTACCTCTGGGTATAAAGTAACAAAAATAAGCATGCTGAGTGCATAATTATGATAAGCAATGGTGCCTCTTTCAAAATTGTAAATTTCATGGCCTTTAGTTTAAAACATGAATCAAATTCAATTGTCGGAAAGTTGTTGCATGATACTCAGGTGACCTATAACGCCAGTGGGCCTCTTGTTTAGGTTGTCGATACATATATTTGTAAAGATTGGAACTGTGTATGAATTGCTTATTAAAATCAAAGACCAGGTGTCGAGGTTTAAGTACCTGTGAACAGAGTATAGTAATCAAGCGTGAATCCAATGTCACTAACATCAGTTATTGCGTGGAGATTTATGTCGATGCATTCAGATTCAATTTCACAATATTTATACTCTATATCACTATATATAGTGAGCATCCCCTGCCGAACGGTCACACCCGCCGTGTGCTCCTTGTCATGATCAGGAAGTAACGGAAAATATCCGTCGTCAATTCAGTGTATAAATAATGGACTAACAATTGGTATGAAAAACGTCAGTCAGCATTTGACTCGATGAAAAATTGTATTTGCTGAAAA